TACCCCTTACACTTTCTGCCCAGTCCCTTATCCAAAGTGAACATGCGCGGAACATTTTTAAATTAAGATATTTTTCTCTTGGCTGTAAAAACGTTGGAATGCGTTAATAATAATTTATCCGAGTTTGTGCACACGAGATTCTGGACAAAAATCAACAATGTCAGACAGGTCAATTGACTAAAACATGCGATCGATATGATCACTGCAAGGCGATTGCCTCACTCGGCTTCCATTAAGTTTACATAATACTAGCTTAAAACGAGTACGGGAATTCTAGAATTTTCGATTTTATCTACATGATTTCTTCGTGCCTCATAATAAACTCTCCATATCCACGTAACACGCGCTGAGCGATTGCTTTAGATAATCACGAAAAAAACAAAAACGTTTTGTTCAACACCCTCGCAAGCAAACTCCCTGAGGCAAATTGATTCACCCGGGCTACACACTTATAAAATTGTTGTCGTTGGCTACAGACGCATTAGAGGCGAAATTCCTTTTCATTCTTTTTTATTCCCACTCAGGCTGGTTGTAAAGTGTTCTTTCTGTATAATAAGTCTACTAGGTTGAATGAATGACCTTTTTGCAGGGGTGACATTTAAGAAAAAAAAACAGTAGTTCAAACACCGCGTCGTGTCAACTTATTATATACGTATATATTACATCTGCGCCCAGAAATCTCATTTGTTTCTGACGTTGTCTAGATTTTAAATACATTTTACGTGGGCGAGCAAAAGGGTAAATCAAACGCCACGTGGCTAGGGGGGTCACCAGCGCTCATGGATGAAACTAATGTGTGCTGAAATATACAAGTATACAAATAAGGAGCAGATAAAAGATTAATATGATATAGCCAACTCCGTTATATAATAATTCCGAGATATAACCAAATCAGCGATATAACCAATTCCCTGACAAAACTAATTCTGTGATATAGCTTATTCTGCGATATAACCAATTCAGCGATATGACCAATTCCGTGACAAAACTAATTCTGTGATATAGCTTATTCTGCGATATAACCAATTCAGCGATATAACTAATTCTGTGATGTAGCTAATTCCGTAATTTAACTAATTCACTGATATAACTAATTCCACCATATAACAAAACCAGTGATATAGCCAATACATAACTAATTCCGTGATATAGCTAATTACGTGATGTAAGTAATTCCATATGATTACATAACTAATTCAGTGATATAACTAATTCAGTGATATAACTAATTCCGTGATATAACTAATTCAGTAATATAAATGATTCCGCGATATAGCTAATTCAGTGATATAACTGATTCCGTGATATAGGTAATTCAGTGATATAACCAATTAAGTGATATAGCCAATTCAGTAATATAACCAATTCAGTGATATTGCCAATTCAGTAATATAACCAATTCAGTAATATAACTAATTCTGTGATTAGGCAAATCAGTAATATATCTATTTCCGTGATATTCCCAATTCAGTAATATAGCCAATTTCGTGATATAGGCAAATCAGTAATATATCTATTTCCGTGATATTGCCAATTCAGTGATATAGCCATTTCAGTAATTTAACCAATTCCGTGATATAGCCAATACTGTAATATAACTAATTTCGTGATACAACTAATTCCGTGATATAACTAATTCCGTGGTATAGCCAATTCAGTGATATAGCCAATTCAGTGATATAACCAATTTCGTGATATAGCTAATACTGTGATAAAACTAATTTCGTGATATAACTAATTTCGTAATATAACTAATTCCGTGATATAGGCAAATCAGTAATATGAAACATTCAGTGATATGGCCAATTCAGTGATATATCGTATTTCGTGATATATCTAATTCCGTCAGAAATATGACACATTCAGAGTGATATAGCCAATTCAGTGATATATCTTATTTCGTGATATAACTAATTCCGTGATATAGCCAATTCAGTGATATATCTTATTTCGTGATATAACTAATTCCGCGATATAGCCAATTCAGTAATACAACCAACTCTGTGATATAGCTAATACTGTTATATAACTAATTCCGTGTTGTAGCCAATTCAGTGATATAGCCAATACTGTGATATAACTAATTTCGTGATATAACTAATTCCGTGATATAGCTAATTCAGTGATATAGCCAATTCAGTAATACAACCAACCCCGTAATATATCTAATACTGTTATATAACTAATTCCGTATTGTAGCCAATTCCGTGATATGGGCGATTCAGTGATATAATCAATTTAGTGATATAAACAATGCTGTTATATAACCAATTCAGCGCTATAGTTAATTCGACGATACGACCAATGCCGTGATATAATCATTTCAGGGTTGGATGAAAAACGCATTATTTGTTTGGTGGATACGTGTTTCTTTGTCTAATAAAACGCTTTACTCAGCTTCAATTCGGATTATCCGTATGTAGATTTTAGCATTTCCGGTTTTATTTCCTGCAATTCTTTGTCTCCTATTTAAGCTCACAGAATTCATGTATCATGCTCTGAGCGAATGACTTTAGTAATTACAAAAAAAAAAAAAAACGATTGTGTCCAGCACCCACGCAAAGATACTCCCTGAAGTAGGTTGATTTGCCAAGGCTACACACGTGGCATTCCTGTCATCAGTGCAAATTAATGAACTCTCTTCGCAAGTGGAATTCGATTTGCACGGCATGATTGTGTTTTTGTCACGTGACACATTGCCGCTAATCATCTGCGACAAATGATACGTTAGGTTAAATTTCACTAAGCAAACATCTCGGCAAATGAGTGTCAGTTACGTGTAGTCAGACTATTCAAAATCAGGCTATATAATTTTTTTATTGTCAATGGAATTTCCGCACACAATCGCGAAGAATGGTGCGTTTTACTTCCTCTCGATCAGCTGACAGGAACCAAGGCGAGATCCTGATGCATGTCAATTACTTTACCGTGCATGTTGTCGAATTGAAACATTTTCAGTAAACTAAAATAATGCCATCCCATCCACCCCGATAATCCCTTAAGACTACGATTATACCAACTACTACTTTCTATATATTTTACTAACCGATAACCGACAATGACAGGTCTACTCAGACTTTAAAATTACGTGCCTGTTTCAGTATTTCTATAGGTAATTATTGCTTTTGTTATTTACTTTTTTTGCTATCCCAGGCTTTACGTACATAAACCTTGATATGATACTGTTTACTGCGTAAATTTGATATCACTCTACCTCGTTATGATACTAACGTGCACTTATACATGCCGTAGAAATCGTCGTTATTCAGTAAGTTCTAGCGTCTGAATGGTTTGAATCAAAAACTCTTATCACTGATATCGCGACTAGTATTTTCTTCTTACATAATTACCACGCCTAACAATACATTGCACCATTATGCATTTTTTATAAATAAGAAGAATCTTAACACCTAGATTGCTTTGTTACTGAATCAAATAATTAATATTAAATGATTTACATAGTTCAGAAGAAGAAAACTATAATTAATTACTATAGGTAGTCTGAGCTATGTTATGTGAATAAGAAAATAATACACCCTACACATATGACATGTACAAATTTTACTTTGCTACTCCACGCAGGGCATTATGGGTGGGAATCAAGAAATGCCCCTAACACGTGAAATACGTGATAATGTCCGCTATGTCTACATTCCTTTTATAAAGTTAAGCTATGAGAGACAGATAGCACATGAAGAAATGTGTTCGTTAAATTGGTAAACTGGATATATCGGTGCGCAATACACTAAGTAACGCCCTCTAGTGACGGAGCGCATCTGTGACGTAAATGACGTGTAAGTGATGCCGTTACCTACGACACTGTTTATATTTATGTATACTGGTTTCGACGCATCGTCGTAGACTTACTTGCTTTTTGAAAATTAAAAAAATGAAGAAATTAAAAAACAAGCATTTTTTTCGCGATCACCCTCCGTTAAAAATATTAAACAAGTGTAAACAAGTCTAGTTTCATCACTGAACGACGCGATTATTGTTAAGATTAACTTTCAATACATAATATTATAGGAATCGACGACTGGCACAACTTCTTCCCAGCCGCCAAGGGAAAACACCAATCTCCAATAGGGATATCATCGCATCAGACAAAATACGATTCAACATTACCGTGTTTGAAGTACAAATATAATGCAGGTGCTACGAAATCCGTTACAAATAATGGTCATTCGTTCAATGTGTCTGTCGACAGTAACGAATCTGGTAAGTCGAGATAAAACATCCGCCTTAACGAATTAAATTCCGTCACCATTTTAATTTAGTTCGGTAACTAAAGATAGTGTCAGATGCGTTTGGTATGGTTGGATTGACTACTTTATTTAAATAGTTATATGAATCTCATTTCCCTGCCATTCAGAGTTGTGTGGCGGTCCTCTGAAATACCGTTATAAGATGGCTGGTTTCCATGCACACTGGGGTCTCACTGAAGCCACCGGCTCCGAACATACGGTCGACGGCATCCCATATGCCGGAGAGGTGAACCACATTTGAATTTCTTTTATACTCGTATGAGTTATGCCATTAAAAAGTAGTAAATAAAGACGTTGAACTCATGTTAATAGTTTTGTTAATACACTCTCTAGAGGGCGCTTCTAACCCTCGTTCTCATTTTATAGTTCCACTTAGTACATTGGAATAGCGATCTCTTTAACAGTATGGAAGAAGCTATGTCACAACAAAACGGCATTGCTGTACTTGGCGTTTTTGTACGGGTGGGTAATTAATTAATTACATTTATTTATTTATAGTTTAGTTTAGTTTTAGTTTCGCACTAATTTTCAACGCTCATTGCCTTACTAGGGTAGTTGAATTTAAGTTCAGATCTATTTTGGATATTAAATTTCTATATATTCACAAATAGGATTCTTTAATCGAATTTCTTCCCAAGACACCACGTGGGTTCAATGTCAAATAACGTATTGTACACATTATAACCTTTCAGGTTGGAAAAGAACACAGTCAAATCCAGTCTTTGCTGAGAAACTTTCAAAAGATCCGATTTAATGTAAGTTATATTGTTTAAAGTTGCATTTTAATTCCGTATCAAATATAGAACATCTCCACTGATTATAATGATCACCAAGTGCAAAAAAACAAAAAAAAAACTGCTGTTTGGGCAATAACTGAATTATTTGAGTACTGAAGCAAA